AAGAAATTTAGAAATCTGACCATATACAGAATTGTAACAGGATAGACCTGTGACATTTTCTTTTTCTTATTTTCGTGCCTTTTTTTTCATTTATTACCCTTTTTTAAAGAAAAAAATAAAAATAAATAAAAACCTTACTTGACAGACAGTATGGCAATAATTGGTTTGTCATGATAAGAAGTACATATTTAGGAGACCAGAATGACAGGCACTCTAAGAATGACCCCTCTATTACACATCGCCATCCTCATTGCAGCCACCTGGCTCACAGGCACAACCATATACAGTTAACCAGAGTGAGAATCTCACCAGCCAACCACTAGTCTCAAAAACCTGCTGATGTCCCCCAGGATCACTGCCCCACTCATCTCGTGCGTACAAATGCGTGGCTTTACCCCAGTCATGTTTACCAGCTTTTCTCCTTGCCCACTCATTGTCCAGTCCTCAAGTTGTCACTTTCCTTTTCTTTCTGTTGTACCTTTCTATATGTAATTCCTCTTTTGAGTTCTTATACTAGGGAGACAATACAATATTTACACATGTGGGTCTGGTTTATTCCACTTATAAGTATATCTTCAAGTGGCATCCACTAAAATATGAAGGCTTCAAGTTTATCATTCTTTATACCTGAGTAATATTCCACTGTATAAAAATATCACATGCTTTTCAACCATTCCACATGTGATGGGCATCTTGGTTGTTTCCAAGATCTGGCTATCACAAATTGTGCTGCTATAAACATAGGTATGTATATTTCACTATGACATGGCCCTTTCAGTTCCTCTGGGAAAATTACCAGTAGGGGGATAGCAGGCTTGAATGAGATTTCCAGTCCTAGTTTTTTAAGGAGTCTCCCACTGATTTCCATGATGGTTGCACCAGTTCACACTCCCACCAACAATGAAGAAGGGTTCCTTTTTCCCCATAGCCTCTCCAACATTTGTTGTTGGTTGATTTCATTGTGACAGCCATTTTTTCTGGGGTGAAATGGTATCTCAGTGTTGTTTTAATTTGCATTTCACAGATGGCTTGTGATGTGAAGCATTTTTTCATGTGTTTATTCACTTCTTTAATTTCATCCTCTGTGAAGTGTGTGTTCATCTCAGATGCCCAATTCTGGATTGGGTCTTTAACTTTAGGGGCTATAATGTTCTTTAGTTCTTTATAAATTCTAGAGAGCAGACCTTTGTCTGAGTGCTTATTAAGATTTTTTTGAAATTTGTGGATTGTCTTTTCACTTTGTTTGTAATGTCTTTTGATGTGCAAAAACTTCTCAATAAGAGGTGGTCCCAGTTGTTAATTCTTTCAAGTATTTCCCGTGCGATTTGATTTTTGTTCATGAACTCTTTGCTGATCCCTATGTCTTCAAGAGTTCCTCCTAT